AATAACGACCTAGCCCTTTCTTCCTGGTCAATTTGAGATGGAAAGACCCTCATGTAATATATCAGGGTCTAAATGGAAAATGGATTTGTTTTAATTTATATGCCTGATATACATAATGTAGAATTAAAAAAGAAAGATCAATCGTGGCATTATTTTCTTTGCCGTTTTGAAGGAAAACGTGTGGTTTTTAGGTCGCGGTCTAGATCGGGCGAGCGTGGCGGCAACATTCTGCGCGCTTCCACCGCGCATCGTAGAACGCCGCCGCACATGCGCAAAAGCAAGATTCGTTATGTGACGTCACCACCGCCGGCGACAGGGTTGTACAGTTCACCCGGCAGGTTAGTTTCTTAAGTGATTGGTAATAATAATTAGTGCTTGGTGTGGACCACAAATGAATTATTTATTGTCGCACCTTCAAAAGTCAAAGTGGAATTTACTCACGCGCATATGGAAGCTTTTTTGGAATGTTGCCTCCGATTTTCTATAAAATTTTGCGCATTTTTGCCACAACTTGGTTGAGAATTGTTGACAGTATTTTCATCGCACAATCGTTCTTATTGGATATGGATTCTTTAAGGTAACCTTCTGCTACATCACTAGATTTTCTTGTAAAGCAAATTGATAATTTAAAAACACATCTTTAGGAACTCGACCTGTATGACATTGTATGGACTCCTAAAGAACGTTGATATTTTGCATTGATATATTAAAAAAATCGTTCAATGGAGATGCCAAATTTAAAAAGAGATTAAACGTAGAAGCTTTAAAAATTGCTAGGAGAAGATAGAAAATTGTTGTCTTAAAACTTTTAAAAAAATTTTGTCCGACTGTGTTTACTAACCGTTCAAAAAGGAATCTCATACTTGAGGACGCCAATGTTTTAAAGTAAAAATTAAAGAACTAGTTCTGTACCCCCAGAGCCAAAATCTCTTGCAACCACTACAAAATTTCACTGTAGCGGGATTATCTTCAGGATGCAGGTGCTGCACTCGCGTAAAATGAACGTCCTTCATAACCCGCTGAAATGTGACTGCGTGCAACTTCCCTTATGCTCTTCCTACTATTTGCATCGAAGGGATTGAAAATTGTTTCTTTATTTTCCGCTGTTCTAATACGTCAAGGAGCACCTTCAATTTCGTTGCAACGCAGAGCAACTTTACAGTCCAGGGGACGATCAGTAAAGCGCTGGGAAAAACTCTTGCTGCATCTCTAGCATTGCGCCCATACTCCCCATAAATAATCATCATTTCGGCATAATCAGAGGATGAAAACATAACTTAAAATTATAAGGACAGCAGTGTCACAATGAAGTGGATTCCAGTCGACCAAATATTTTACATATTACAATATCAAGAAAGCATCCTACACAGTAAAAAATGTTTATGTAAAAATACATGTATTATCATTGTATTTCTGTGACCATTGACTTGTATGTGTTTTTTAAAGGTGAAATGTTTTTTTTTTACAAATTAGTGTAATCTTACATTGTATAGGTAAATTTACCATATGGTTATGTGTTATCACAATGTAATATTACAATTTATTTGTTAAAATGCATGGTACTTTTACGTAATGCATTTACTACAATTCGAAATTTTACACATTGTTAGTATTATTACAATGTAATATCGCATATATATGTAACTCGTCTGTGATTTTACAACGCATATATGTAACTATAGTTATAGTTATATATTGCAATTCCGCTTAGGTACAAACGTAGCGAAAATGAGATTTGGTATTTAGATTGTGTACTTACATATATTTTTTACATTAATGTAATAATAAATTTAAATAAATTCATTAAACATTTTCTTAATATAAATAAATGTAAAAAACACATGTAGGTATCTGCACAATGTAAGTATCAAATCTCATTTTTGCCAAGTTTGTACCTAAACGGTATTGCAATATGTACCTATACATTTCGCGTACCTAAACATTGTACTATAGTCATTGATGGGCGGTGGGTAAATACCCAATGGGTAGGTAAATACAATTTGGGTATATACCTGGTATATACAGACAGGGTGGGTATATACTTGGGTGTTTAAAAAAAACAATTATTTTTTTCTAATGGTGTTGAAAAATTAATAGGACATTAAAAATAAATCAAAAAAAGTTTACAGTCTCAGATTAACAGAATTAAAGTGATTTTACATAAAAAATAATATGAATATGGCATATGATATTTTTTTGTATTTTATTTGAAAATATTTAAATTTTTTATTAGTGTTATTTTTGATAGCTGATATCTTTGAAACGGTTGATCCGAAGAACTTTGACCTTCAGATGTTTTTTGTAGAGCGTGAAATTGTCTATAACTCCTCTCGTTTGGGTGTTGCGAAAACAAACCATTCCAAAGTTATAAGAATTCAAAATTAAAAAAATAAAAATTCCCGTTTTGTTTTTTAATGTACTATTAATTTTTCAACACCATTATAAAAAAAAATAATTGTTTTTTTGTAAACACCCTAGTATATACCTATTGTGAAAAATCGGATATATACCTGATATACCAGGTATCCGTTTATTGTCGACAACTTGTTAAGGAATTCTATTATAAAATTAGGGTATTTCCCTATATTGCGCGGTCGTATTTCCGCGTTAAGAATATTATTTCTATTATATTATTCCAGTAGACACGAGTTGTGTTTGGGAACTGTAACCGTTCAACTGTTTGTGTCGCTACTGATTTGTAGGTAATAGTAAAGAGGTAAGTTTTTACTTAATTAAAGATACCTCAAATAGCGATTCGTATTAGGTTCACTGTGAATCTAAGTCTAAACGAAGAGTCTGGTTAGTAAAATTGAGGATTTTAATAAAATGTTGGGAAAATTGCAAAAACTCCCCGTTTACTGGGCTTTACAGATAAAAAAAATGCACCCTAATTAAGTTTTGTGGGCACAAAACTCAAGATGCATTTTTTTTATCTGTAAAGGCCAAAAAAACGGGGAGTTTTTGCCATTTTCCCAACATTTTATTAAAATGGATATAGCCGGTTTTGCACGGATGCTCCTCAATTAATACTATTATTGGATACTAACCTTATAAGGTTAGTAAAATTAATACCACTATTAATTCTTTGTTAATAAATATTATCGGAATATTTAAATTAATCCTAAATATACAAAATGTTATACAAATTTGTTAATTCTTCTCACTCGTTTCTTATGTTTGTGGTAAATTTACTCCTAAAAGTGGAAAAAGAATGTTTGTGCTTTAGCGCACTGTTTGAAAATTTTATAATTATTTAATTTGTTGCATATTAATTACTTATTACTAAAATAGTAAATATGTCCACGTAAAGTGACCCATTTACTTATCTTAGAAACTACTGGAATCGAAAAAAAAATGTAGGGAAGAAAAGTTCAAAATCCCATAAAATGTTAATATTATATTAATATTAAGTATTTTATTTATAAGGGGTATTCCTTTTTTGCTGGGTCGTCGCCAAATTTTTTATTTTCAAAATTACATATAATTTATATACAAATATGTTTTAATTTCAAAATAAAGCATTAGGCATTAAAATTTATAAAAAATATTTTGGTTTTGTTTAACTTATGTTTTTTTTATTTATTTTGTTTCAATTAACATGTATTTTTTAACATATGTTTATTATTTTTCGTTTTATTTCGATTTAATCAATTACTTCTTATTCTTAACTACAAATTGTTAAACTACCTTAAATTAACAAAAAAGCAATAATTTGGTATTTACCATATACCGGTATATACCGGGTATATGTTAAATACCAAATTTAATAAACCCTGAATTTACCCATTGGGTACATACCGGATACCTTGGGTATTTACCCAAATTTCAATATACCGGGTACTTGCCCATCACTGACTATAGTATTATAATGTACGCAGAACAAAATGTTTAAGGAAAAAGGAAAGTAAAGGTAACTTAAAAAAATAGCTAGGGCTGATAAAATATTTATTTATTTTTACATTACAAGTTAATGTAAAATCGACAAGATATTGGAAATATGATTTGTTTAATTATGAACCCTGAAAAGTGTATAAGATTTGCAGATGATTGTGCAATATTTTCGTAAACATTTTAACAATGCTTTTGCCACGTTTCATATCGTCTTACAGTTTTACAATTAACATTACAAGTAATGTACTGAAATATAATAATAAATAATTAATTTACCTACCTTTTAACAAAAGTTTTCGGACTGACCTAAACACGGAATAAAAATAAAACTAGCTGCAGCACATGTAATGTGTATTATAATAACAAGTCGTCAACTTTTGTTGTGGTTCCCCTTATGTGGTGGCGTGGTGATCATGTGGTTGAAAACAGTGCCTTTGATTGGTTATATTTCACACGTGAATTGTATTTTTAGAAATATTATGTATTTTTACATATTTTAAATTAGATTCCTTTTTACAACTTACAATTCATTGTTTAACTGTATATATCCGATAAATTTGTACATTTATTATTGGAATTTTAAACTTTTATGTTCTTATATTAGTAAATTTACATTTATTTATTTGTATAGAAAACATGTTTATCATCGTAAAAGACTTGTAATTTTACATGCATTTTTTACTGTGTAAGTATTTAAAGATTGGCTATCGGTTTTTATTCTTATCTCGCTTATCCTTTGCATGTTCCCTTTTTCTCAGTGGTGCGAGTTCTGGGACACCCTGTATGTCGCAATAAATAACTTTTTAAGGACATATTTCGCCACCAGGTATTTTGACCTAAAACGTGGCCAATAATATTTGGGCCCTTTTTCTGTATCAAAAGAGTAGCAAATTTATTTATAAAAAATAAATCCATCTACCTAAAAATCTTATAAGATCGCACTAAAGTCTCAAGGGTACATTTTTCCGTGAAAACTACAACTACACCAAAAGATAGCCATGTTATCTATCTGCTTTGGGACGCAACCCTACATCTAGTAATAAAAATAAACAAGGTTGAGTTTTAGCTCAAAATTTTTCATCGTTGTAAATCGATAATTTTTTTTGCAGACGCTACGAAAGAGACGAGCGCTCTTTCCGCGACAAGGAGCGACAACGCGACAACCGGTCGCGCGACCGCGACCGCTTCTACGACGACCGCTACGACGACAGGCGCGGCGGAGAGAGGGGCGTCGTAAGGAGCGGTGGTCAGCAATGGAACCACCCCTCGTCGAGGGGCGGGCCTGCGTTGCCGCACCACCAGCAGCCGCCGGTGGCGCCGCTGCATCCAGATATGGGCGGCGGCGCCGGGTACCATCCCGGCTACCATCAGGATATGGTCGGATTTTCTAACAGGTATTTCTATCGATATTGTCGTTTTTTTTTTTGTTATTTTGTGTAGGTTTTTTTTATAAGCGATTTTTGTTTGTAAGGTTTGTTTTAAATCTAAAAATTCAATCCACAGTACAAAAAATCATTAAAATTTGTATAAGTAAAGTAGAATTTTTAGACCGCCACTGGTTGTTCCTGACCTACGCAAACTGACGCAAAATGTGTGCACAGTGGGCAATAATCTACATTCATTAAAATAATCTAGGGCAATAATCTACATTCATTAAAAATTTGCTTTTGTGTTATTATTGATTACTGTGTTGATAATTGTTTTTTGTTTTGCATACTCAGTAATTTTTGGGTACTTAAAAAACAGGCCTTGGAAAAATTGTCTTTCTTGGGATTTTTTTTTTGCAAATACAGGGTGTTATGTAATAAATGTAATATATTATAATGGGTCCATAAAGAAGCACCTGAAACTTTTTTTTTCTAAATCCTACCAAAAAGTACGCCACTTATTGACTAGGAACTTTAGTCTAATCTGGTTGCCTAATTTAATTTATTATGTTATGGTTAGTAACAACCAGCGTTTCCAGATTCTGTCAAAAAAGTTGCCAAATTTTGTTTAAATTTAGCTTAATTACAAAAATTACAAAATCAACAATGCAAATTGTTAATTTGGCGTTTTTATTAATTGTTTATTATGTCATTTTTGTAATAAAGGTAAATTCAAACAAAATCTGGCAACTTTTATGACAGAATCTGATGCGCTTCTTTCAAATTTTTGGTTTTGTGCTCAAATTGTGAATATTTTAACTTTTGGAATTATTTAGACAGATTGAATGTTTAAAGTTTAACCTATAAACTTGTCCTAATTTCAACAGAAAGAAAAAAACCGATACTAAATCATTTCTTAAGCTAATAGCTGGAAAAGCAAATAAATACAGAAGGGTATTAGAGCTTTAAGGGCATAAAACTTTTGTATTTATCTAGTTATTATTTATTTTTTGCAAGAAAAAATTTTTAGTAACAATTTTTTACAACTGGCAACGCGCACCTACTTTGTTGTTTGGTATCTATGTGCTCACAGAACATAAGTGTGTAACCATGGGCGTATCACAAAAAATATAAAAATCTTCTAATGCATATTTTTCTTTTTCTTTGGGAAAATATTTTTTTAAATATTTTTCCGTTACACTTTATGTCAAAAGGTATTCAGTATTTTAATATATTACATTAATTAAATAACACCCTGTATACACCTTTTAAAAAAAGTAGCAAACAACATCTTAACATTATTTTAATTTAAAAAAAATCCTTTATTACAGAAAAAACCTGAATTGAATTGAATTAAGAAAATAAAAGTAAACCTTAAATATACTGTCGGGTATTTTTTGCAAAAAGGAGTCCATTGAAAATTATTATATTTATGCAAAGTTTCCTAAACTTAGTGGCACAAATTTAGGAGCAGATTAAGCAAGTCAAAATAAGACGAAAATCTAAAATCTTTCTTAATTACGTATGTTTAAAATATACAGGGTGATAAAATGTTACTTATCATATCAGTTTTTTTAATATAACTTCTACTATGGTGGACTTGGAAAGGTGATATTTTCCTAACAGTCACTTACTAGCAAAACACATATTCACACATAATTACAATTGTTCGAGTTCATAGAAACAGGGGTTGCTTAAGCTTATTGTCCCATACAAACTTTGCGGTTAGGTTTTTATAACATTTGATGCAATTTTTTGATTACTCAGTTTGGCTACTATTAAAAAGGTGTAACTTTCAAACTTCGATAAAATAAACCGTTTCCAAAATATTCGAGATTACAATAATTGTTATATCGCATTAAAGGACTAAAAGGTATGTATATGATAACAAATTTTTTAATTGAAAAACCTACAATTTTCTTTAATGTGACGGTCAGGGCAAAAAGCCAGAGGCTCATGGAATGCCCTTCTTAGTATTTTCAATTAAAAAATAAAATTTGTTATCATATACCGTTTAATCCTTTTAAATAATGCGATATAACAATTATTGTAATCTCGAATATCTCGGAAACTGTTTATTTTATCGAAGTTTGAGAGGTACACCTTTTTAATGGTAGCCGAACTGTGTAATCGAATAATTGCATCAAATGTTTCAAAAACCTAACCTCAAATTTGGATGGGACAATAAGCTAAAAGCAACCCCCGTTTCTACGACACTGTGTTCACTTAAACAATTGTAATTATGAGTGTGTTTTGGTTGCAAGTGACTGTTCGCAAAATATCACCTTTCCAAGACTACAATAGTAGAAGGTATATTAACCCGTAACCGGTACTGTGGTGTCTGGGAGACACGCATCAACGAACAAAGCGCTGTCACACCCTCACCTTTTGATTTAAAAATCTGTCGCTTCCAATACTTTTAAGTTGAGCAGTTATCAATATGCTCTCAGACTTTGAATAAGTTGGATTGTCAAACGGACAAATTATTACGAGTCAAAGTGTTGAGGTGTCTAGTAGACCACTGAGTACCGTTTACGTAATTTTTATAAAACAATTAATTCCTTATGGATTCGCAACAAAGGCTTTCTAAAAGTGTCCAAAGTGATAACAAAGGCTTCAAGGAAACTGTAATGTAGTGGTTGTATGAAATCGACAGCGATATAAGTGATATAGATGACTGTAGTATACTACATAACCATTGTCGTTGAAGATAATCACAGCAGCGATTCAGGACTTGTCTGTGAAGAGTCTATAGAAAATAATTTTATAGGGACAGATAGAGAAGAATTTGAAATTTTTTAAGAATTTAAAAAAAACAAAAAAGTTACTATGGAAAAAAATAATTGTAAAAATCAGCTATAGTTTGAAGCAGTTATTTTTGCTGTTAAAAAAAGATATATTTGAATTTTTTTTGTTTATGTTATTTTTTAAGGTATATTCTTCAAAATAAAGTTCGTTTTATTTTGTTTGGTTTAATATTTTTATATAGTTTAATTACAAAGTTTGCACTACTGCACCTTTTGTACATGTTTTGATTAAAACCTATTTGTTTAAATTTTTCTTTTATTTAGATATTATTTTTGATGATATTCTAACTTTATATATAGTTCCTAGTATCCCCAAAGCCTCAGATAAAAAAAAATAATATAAATTATAATTTTAAAAGGCAGGTGTCTCTCAGACCCCTCTACCGTTTATGACCTGAAAGTCGTACCGTACCGGTTACGGGTTAAAAAACTGATATGATAAGTAACACTTTATCACCCTGTATCTTGGGAAAAATATTTATTTAGGTTTTCATCTTATTTTTACTTGCTCAATCTTGTCCTATCTTTATAAACACCTTGTATATTAAATTTCAAGAACTATGAATTTAATCCGTTAAACTAGGCTCAGTGGTTTTTTGTTTGGTTTTTCTTGAAAAATGTTGGATGCAAAATAATTTAATAAAAAAAATATTTTTAATTATTTTGCATGAAACTATTTTTCAAAAAGAAAAATCAAATAAAAAACTTACTCGATCATAGTTATACAGATTAAATGTATAGTTTGAGTGATATAAGTCTACAATGAGGGAAATAATCATATATTATATCACGAGAACTATGAATTTAATCGGGTAAACTAGGCTCAGTAGTTTTTTGTTTGGTTTTTGTTGGAAAATGTTGAATGCAAAATAATTTAATAAAATCACGAGACCGCGTAGCGGCCGAGGGGTTTTATTTTTAATTATTTTGCATGAAACTATTATCCAAAAAGAAAAATCAAATAAAAAACTTACTGAGCATAGTTTGACAGATTAAATTTATAGGTTGAGTGATATACATCTAGATTATTTCTCGAATTAAAGGAAACTATTTGACCATTCATAAAATCTGACGTATGTGTCAAAGTTTATAAATATTTTTTTAAAGAATATTCCATTAATTTAAGGTATGTAATAAGTAATAATTGATATTTCGTAAACTAGATAACTTATTTTTTATTGTTTTTTAAAAAATGTTTGTTAAAACTTGTAAATAACACCATAAAATCGTAAACAAAAATCCAATATGGAGGCTAAAATTTAATCGCTGTTAAAAAGGTCTAGTGATTTAATCGCTTATTTAAACGAAATTTATTCGAAAATTCAAGGCTTTTGATTGGTTCATATTATATTGAGGGAAATAATCATCATAATATTATACTTATTATTATAATCAGCATCGGAAATTTTCCTTTTTCTTGATATCAGTTTACTAAAAATTTACTTCTGCATTTTTTTGCATTACCTTTTAAATAAAATGAAAAATTGCAAGTCATTTTTACTGAAAATTAACCAATTCTCATAAAGCAATACGTAGGCCACGAGAGAAAAACAACTGAACCTCTTAGTAAAAATTTAAAGACAATTATAGCTGATGGCTGGCAAGCGCTTTTACCAATCTGACATCTGTCAAAAAGTTTAAACCTCACTTTTTTCTAATTTTAACTTGAAGCTGAATCATAGATTTTAAACAAACTCTACAAACAAATACTTATAGAAAAAGTAAATTATTTACAAAAATCGCCAAAATTTTAGACGATATTTTTTATTTATTTTAATTGATATTTATATGGTATAATAGCGGAACCTTTTTAAATATATTATCTATATTTGTGATGTAAAACTATAAAATATTTATTTTATACTTTTTTTTATTGTTTTTGAATGTTATTTATAATATAATTAATATGTATTCCAAAATGTAACAGAGACTGTAAACATTATACACATTAGGGTGATTCGTTTTGAAGGAACATTTATTTTTGTCGCTTTCCAAGCAAAATATTGTTGTACACAACGAGAAAAAAATGCCCTTAAAGTTTCAGCCCTTAATCTTACTCGCAAGTACTTTTATTTTGATTTTAAAGTTTTTCCATTGAAATAACATTGGAAATTAAGCATATTTTTTCAATTTTCTATACTTTGGCGACATTTTACGATACTACAATTTACATGTATATGCGATTTGTACTAATTAGATGTTCTTCAAAAGTAGGCACTT